ATTTTGAACTCGAGATTGGAAAAGTTTGAATTTGACAACTCCAGCCCAGATATGACCCTGTAACGTCATTTCATAGAGTGACAACAGTGGTCAGTCCAGCAGTCAGCTTTCAATCGTCAAACCAGTCAAACTAGTTACCTTTTTTTAGCCCGGGCCCCTCATCTCGGGCTCCTCAGACCGGGCCCCTCATCCCGGGCTAAAAAGTTATATATATCTCCTCCAGCCACGGGTGCGACTTACAAGCCTATTGCACTGATTTCCCATGGAAATATATCTTTCCCGAAAATATTGCTGCCCCGACAACATGAATTTAAGCGTGGTACTATCCTCGGTTTTATGATTAAGCATTCAACGCAAATATTAACAGGAAGAAAGATTCGTAAGAGTTCCGATGGACTCATTGAAGAGATTCCCAGTAGCACCAGCCCTAAAGAAACACAAAATATTGTACTCATCAGTACAGCTCACACCTTATTGTTGGTTGGCTCGTTGATCTCGTCTAGTGGCATATCAACATCTCTATGGGTCATTTAATTCCGAAATCTAAATATTTTGAACACAATTTATTTCTCCATCTGAATATATTTTGAACGCACTTGTATGCCTTCAACTACAGATAAAATGTATTGTTGGTCATTTTGATTTAAATATGTATTCTTGGTAATTTTGCTATAAATAGATACTGTTGGTAATTTTATTATAAATAACTATTGTTGGTTAGTTGATTTTATTTAGCGGCATATCAACCTTGGATTATTTAATGACGAAATGTAAATATTTTGTACATAATTTTATACTTTCAGGGCAAAGGTATGTTTTTTAGAGATATAGTTTGTAGATCATAAAGTGTATTTTTAGCAATTTTACTATAGAAATTTTACTATAGAAATGTATTTTTCTTAGTGTTGCATTGATTGACATTTTGCTATAAAAATGTATTGTTGGTGATTTCATTATTAAAAGAATACTGTTGATTTTTGTTTGGAGTTCACTATTTACCCATAGCTGGGACCCTGTCTAGCAGGTGCTACCACACCCAGTCAGGTTGGACTTGGGAACAACAGCAATTAGGAGGTGGTTCCACGCTCCTCAAACCCTTGAATCTCCCGATAAGAGGTCTTTCTGCCGGAAGTTATTAAATTTAAAAAGTTTTTTTTTTTATTACATTTGATAACGATTCTATATCCGAGTGACTCAGGAATAAAAAAAAAAATCACGAAAGTAATCCCCAAGAGCAATGATTAATTTTTTGTTTGAATTAGGTTTGTGCAAAAATAATGACGTAATAATGTCGTTTTTTGACGTATTTTTTAATGTCAAAAAACGACATTATTACGTCATTATTTCTAATACCTCTTCGATGTGACATCAATCCTCACTATATAATAAATATGACATTTTGACAAAGTGTGCAGAGCAGTATTTCTCAACCATTTTCACTCCAGAGCGCACCTGTTGAATAATTAAAAAATTGAGGCGCACTTTAAATTTTACTGAGGAAAAATAAGTCCTGAAATTTGAAAATAGGAAAATAATTAAGAAGTCTCCTGAAAAAAGTATTTATCTTTAAGACATTATATTGCTTGAGGCGCAGCTGGCTATTTTTCAGGTGCATTAGTGCACCCCGGCACACCGGTTGAGAAACACTGGTGTAGAGAATTCATGTTACTCCATCTCCAGTGTATACCAGAAGTTCATAGTATGAATGAGACTTCTTCTTCTTCTTCTTCTTCTTCTTCTTATTATTATTATTATTATTATTAAACAAGCAAAATGACTGGCGTAATTCTATCAATAATTTTCAAAACTTAGGGAAGAATTCAAGTTAAGAAAATAAAAATAAAATAAAAACACAACGTTTAACAATATTTAACTTCTTCGGGTTATGATTAAAAATTGCATACAAATATAAAAATATATAAGAATACAAGGTGAGTAACATAATCGTGATCGAAGTCATCATGTTACTCACGTTTCAGTTGCGTTTCATTCATTTTGTCGCGTTGATTACCAGTACGGCCATTTTGCTCAAGATAAGCGACGTTTGTACAAAGTGTTGTATATCTTCTCTCGTCCAGGTTTGCAAAATGTTTTGGGTCCAGAGATGAAAGGACGACAAGATGGAGAATTTTAACTTTTATTAATGCTTATGTTTTTATATTGACATGTATTAACCATCCAATGGAGGTCGTTCCCTCTCACTGGGGAGCCGTTTCAAACATGAAAGAGAACACGTCTACATTGCTTGATGGTTAAGAAACAACTCTCTGAAAAAACTTTATCTATCTATCATTTCTATGCTAGCTCAGCCAATAAAAATTGATTTCCTTATGTCTTCTATTTGACCTAGGAGGTCAACATCAGGAAGTCCGAGCAGGGATACATTTCTTCTAAAAATAATAGCCTGCTAAAGTATTTTTTAACATACCTTACTTAATCATTAATATTATTTCAACTATATTACTCTAAAATCCCCTCTACGCTTTTGCGTCTGCAAGGCACGTTCCTTACATTTTTTTTTTATTGGGCCTCGGTCACGTGACCCCTCCGACATGCACATATACCATTTCTGAAAAAGAATGAACATAAACAACAAAATTCTGACCAGTTTTTTCATGCTTCCCAAATATTTTTAACAACAAAAAAAGAAGAATACGGGACAATCTGTTCATTCTTGGTCACAAGAATCCGTGAACCAAAATCAACGCCTCAGATGACAGTTTAGATACGAATCACTCCATCAGTGAACTTTGACCTCTCCAACGTCACCTCCACCCAAGGCCAGCAGACATCACCTTGCAATCCAATATTCCTGGGGAATAACAACATTTCTTGCCTCTTCACTTAAGAAATGGACATACAATTCACAGAAAAAATACTGGCCCAAAACTTACGCAATACAGGCCATAAGCCCCATTCAACCAATTCCATAATTGAGCCACGTCTTTGCCCCATAAATTTTACACTTTCAATATACCATGATCCACCCTTATTTCCTACTCTCAGTGACACAGAACACACGGTCCCTTATCGCCGTATTTATTCAACCACAACCAATTAATTTGTTATTTGCGTCTTACCAGATTTACTTGAACAAATCTTCACAAATTTACCATCATTAATTTTGTATAATTATTATTAATAACCATCTGCCTCTGTGCGCCAAGACTCAACTCACGTCATTTTAATTCCTTCTGACCTTGGCTGGCCCACGGGGAAAACAATCACACCTGTTCAGCGCCTTCTAACTAATCCATTACTGGCTTTACCGTGGTTACAAGGGTTTTCTTCGCTTAGTCATCTACCTGGCATCCCACAAGCCACCAGACCAATTCCTTTTTTTGTCGTCAGAGCCATTCCTAGGCTCTCGGGGGTATCTTAGAGTATATTCATTCTATAATGAATACTTCATAGCGTACAGCTTCCATTCTACCAAAATATTGTCCGGTTTCCCTATCTACCTAACCAGGTGTGACAATTCCCCTCCCAGGACTCAGCCCCAAACACATTTGAAAATCCCAAACTATGTAAGCCGAATGTACTTATTTCCACAAATAAATAACTTAATTTATGCCCCAAAATTAACTCACAAAGTTCACCAACTAATAACTTAATTATTCAACCAATGAAGGCAAATGGATACACAGTCGGCTCTTAAATTAAAAACAAAAAAATTCCACTCGATGTTATAAAAATGAACAAAACAATCATTTGTCAGTTAATTACGATTAACAACATAATTCTAAATTTAAAACATTTGAATGCAAGCAAAACCATAGTCAGAAATTTTTTCAACTAATTAACATTACACTGACATCACAGGAAATCGCTGTGGGAATGCTCTGTCGGAAAATGTCAGTTTTTCTTTTTCAAAACAATTTTCCATTGCGTTCACGTACGCGTATTCAGGCCTAAACGTGGCCCATCAACGAACTTCCTCAAAAATAAAATAAAAACCACAATGTTTAACAATATTTTCGACTGTGGGTCTGCCTTCTTCAGGTTAGGATTAAAAATTGCATACAAATATAAAAATATATAAAAATACAAGGTGTAACATAATCATGATCGAAGTCATCATGTTAAATCAGGAACATTTATTTACTTGTCAAATTTTCTTCTCCAGAATATTTTTTTTTATTAAAGCAAAACTTTCGTGGCCAGATTTTTCCACAAACAAATAAAAAAAAAGGTTGCAAGACATGCAAACATAAAAACGTGCTAATCAAAATCAACATAAAAAAAAACTTAAAACTTTAAGAGTTAGTAAAATTAATATGCGAAAATTCCAAATAGCTTCTCGCACATGATTCTAAACTTTTGTTGTAAAAAGACAAAACAAAACAACAAAAATCAGTCCCTCACTAAAATGTTTAATCAAAATTGACATATGCTTGAGTATGGGTGATCACTGTGTACTTTCTTTCTTTTATCCTATATTCGTCCATTTTTCTAAAACTTTTTTTTCTTTACATCGTCTGAATTCCTCAATTCACTCCATGGAACTTCAGAACCTTACTTGAACTCTGATTCCGGTTATAAGTCCAATACCGACCAAAAGACCAATTTGGGTCCCAAATCCCGAAAATTGAATTCTTCAAATCACAAGCTCTGCGGAACTTCAAAACTTCACATCACGAAACCTTCCACTTTCACTCTGATTCAATTCACAATGTTTTGGAGATATTTTAAACTAAATTTAAAACAAAAAAAAATTAAATTCACAAAGGTTTTGTGTTACTCAATATAAATTTAAAAAAATTAAAAATCACAGTTTTTTTTCAGTTATTTTAAAATTTGAATTTGTAACTTCCCTTTTCATCTAGACACAAATCCCAACACTGGATGTTCAAGCACCAGGTGAAGGGCAGATTTTCACTCCCGGGATCATCCTGATTCCAAAAAGGTATAATATGTCTATGTAGAGCAAATGTGGCCCTAGTTAGAGAGGTTTCAGACACACAGACAGACGCAGTGAATTTACCGTTTACTTATTTAGATTAAAAAAATGTTGATGTGTTGAAGATAAAAGGAGAGAGGGAGAGAGAGAGAGGGAGAGAGAGAGAGGGAGAGAGAGAGAGAGAGTACTGATGAATTCATTATAATAATGTCCTACTGGTAAGTGTACTATAAAAATGTCTCTTTATACTTCAGTGAAAAGAAACTGTTGGTCATTTTATGAAAATCAGTTGCTGGTAATTTCACTCCAAAAGTGTAATGTTGGTAATTTTTCTTCTGAATATAATTTGCCCATAGTTGGGACCTAACAGTTGCTATTCCCTCGAGTCAGGATGGACCTGGAAGTAACAGCAATTAAGCGATAATACCATTCTTCTCAAAACCCCCAATCTTTCGACCACAGGCCTTGCTGCCGGATGTAGTTTATCATCATACCCAGGACTATCCTGACTGGGTAAATATGCCGCTATCTATAAGAAATGCGTAAGAGCGTATTACCAAAACACTCTGTTGCTGTCGTCTGCTGCAGAAAGTAGTAAAGAACGGGTGGCGTTGCCTACATCGCGGCTCAACGAACTCATATCGGCTGATTTTTTTTTAAGCGTTTCACTACAAGCAAGGCGAGAAGCCACTAGCACTGAAAGGGTTACAGAGAGTTGGCGCTAGAGCAAATAAGAGTGAGAGAGGAAAGGATAGGGGATAGATCAAGGCATCTGGAGACGTCGATTGACATTACATTTGAATAGTTGGAGATTATAGCTATCAGGGAAACAAGAAGAGGGGAGGGAGTTCCACAGGCGAGAAGTGCGAGTCATGAAGCTATTGGAGTAGAAGAGACGGCTATATTTAACAGTTTCGACAGTGAAAGGGTGAGAACGAGATGCCAGCCTAGAAGATTAAAAAAAAGAAGAAAAGATTGCGACTCGAAACACTTTTTTTTTTACAGATTTGAAGACACGCCCTTATTCATAAAAATGTTGGCTTACATATATACGAAAAGGATAACAGGATAAAATTATCGGAAAATGTTCATAATATTATTTTGCCTCCATTTTAGTTATTGCTCCAGATCAGAAGTCAATTCCTTTCACTATTATTTATCTTTCAAATATTTTGAAGAAAAACATAATAATAATAATAATAATATATTAGGGAGACCGTTTTAAATAATAATAATAATAATAATAATAATAATAATGTAGTACTGTTTATTCCGACATCGAATGTAAAATATATACGTGTATTTATGCGTGTGTGTTTCGATGTGCGTATCTCTGATGGTCGCTCCTTGTGGTGATGGAGGGAGTTGCGTGGTCCAATAATTCTGAGCGTGATGCCATCGGGAGTTCTAAACTCCTGGTGGGGCCACCAATAGCGGCAATGTCGAAGACGAGGACTCAGATTAAGCGCGACCAACGCCAACGGTGAAACAAGCGGATGACGATTACAACCGATCTCAACGGTTGAACCAGCGGAAGAAGAGAGCTACGCATCACGGACATGCTACAGAAGGCGCCACTCAAAATTATAACAGAGGCAGCGGCAGTTTCATAACTGGATTCTGCATGTTTCATTCCATATGTGTCGCAGAGGAAGGTCATGAAATCAAGTATGTGGGTCACTTGCTGACCTTAAACAAATGTCCACCTTAAACAAATTCACGCCATCGGCACTTTCTTTGGTTCGGATTCAATTTCAGCGCCAACCAAATCTCATCGGGAGCAAGCTTTGGTGAAACCGGAATCTTCTAGTCCTGAACCTGCACATTGGCAGCGAATTTTGTCATCAACGCCAGCATCATAATGGAAGCGACCAGCGGAGAAGAAATTAAATTTTTGGATACGAGACAAAGCTGGTGACCGAGAAAAAATGTACCTGACCATGGATTAAATAGATTGGGGGTTGTCGGATTAAAGACATGTCAACTATTGTCGGGTTATTTAATGTTTAAATTTATATGGGGCACTCAATGAAAATCGAACTCATAACTTAATAACAACGGTCAACCCGACAAGGCTAGCTAGCCTTTACTCCACACAGAGGCGCCTCAGGTCTTGTAATTTGTTGTCGAAACGTATGGAGTTTGACGTTGAGTAAGTACCAGATACGCAAATCAAAATAAAAAAAAATAATTTTTTTTTTTTTTAAAGGTAATTATTTATAGAATAGCAACAAGATTTTTAAAAAATATCCACTTCCTTTTTACGTCCAGGGTATGATGATAAACTACATCCGCGTCCTGGGTAAGATGATAAACTACGTCCAACATCAAGGTCTCTAATCAGGAGGTTTTGAGGAGCGTGGAACCACCTCTTAATTGCTGGTGTTCCTAGGTTCACCCTGACCCGGGGTGGTAGCACCTGTTAGGGTCCCAGCAATGGGCAAATAGTTAACACCCAAACTTGTGTAAAAATAGGTTCTAATATCAGAAATACTTTGAAATAAAAAAAAATTATTACCAACAATAATTTTTGATGGAAAAATTATGATCTACCAAGTGAGAAATTTAAAACTTTTTACGAAAATAAAACCACCCCAAGATTGTAAATTTCCTAAAAGTTGGATTGTACTAAAAAATATGAGTAATTGGAAAATAGTTCAAATATATATATATATATATATATATATATATATATATATATATATATATATATATATATATTTTTTTTTTTTTTTTTACCAAACTATCGCTATGAATTCAATGCCATAAAACAGAACAACGAACCAACTCACTTCCTTTTAAATGGAAAAAATACATGATTGACGTGTTAATATAACGCCTGCCTCGACCTGCAGCAAGTTAATGACGTCTGCGAGGCTTCCAATACCCCTTTTCTAATTCATCTGTCAGTAATTTATTTGCCAGCACAGTTAACCAATTCCATAAACCGAAAGCAATATCTTTTTTACTTTCATTTTCTTAACGCTTCCTTGGAAAACGGTTTTAATTGTTAAGTGTCCTGGATTGCTTGCTTTAAATCCTCATTGCATTAAAATTGTAGAAAATGCTAACTCTCCACCGCGCCCTCAGGTGATATTTTATCTGGGTGTTTCTATGTAACAATCATGTTGAAAAAAAGAAAAAAGAAAAAAAAAAATATTGAACTTGTCACGTGACTCCCGTATTATTTTTCTTCCTTTCTCCAGCCGCCATCTTGTCGCATTTGGATCTCCTACCTATAATATTATTAAGACGTTGACTGCCAGAGGTCAATTACGAAATCTGACCTTTAAAAAAAAACCCAGTAACTTTCACCCTCTACAAGGCCCGGGGGGGACACTTGAAGTAGAAGATTACATTAAGGGGCAGTTTATACGGAGGGAAAGATAACAGTTAACCATAGACTTGAACAGGTTAAGATTGTAGTGGTGATTTTTTAAGCGTAGCTTAGAGGTAGCACAAGGCCGAATGTATGGGACACCCAGTGAGGATCGAACTCACTATTCAGACGTAAATGATCTAGCGAGGCAAGCTTACTAACCATTACACCACATCGAAGTGTCCAAAATGATTTTCTAAGCGTAGCTTAGATGTGGCACAAGGCCGAAAGTATGGGGCGCCCAGTGAGGATCGAACTCACTACTCAGTTGTAATAGATCTAACAAGACATGCTTTCTAACCATTACACCACGTCGTAGTACCTCAGGTTATGATTGTAGTGATTGGGGAAACATCCTCTTAGGAGTCCGTTTCACAGTGGTTCGCCAAAAGAAGCTGTTCGAGTGGAACTTACTTCTCGCCGATGGAATACGGAGGGAATGTGGGTGATTTGATCCTATGTAAGAGGCATGGCGGTTCTCCAGTGCCTTAACCGGGTATTAAACTCACACTCTTTGGGTCCTGTCACTGGATTTATCTCACGCCTTTATCCACAGTGCCATGTGTCCTTGAGTTCAATACTCGGTTAAGGCAGTGGAGAACATGGAGAGGGGAATTAACAGGAGATAACTAATAACTGACATCCATTAAACATGGCACGTGGAACTAGAACATTCTATCCCAGTGAGCGAAATAAAGGGTTCAGTTCGACATTCCAACCACCTGAAGAAGACCGGAGAGTACAACGACCAAAATGTTGTAATAAATATGACGACAAAGATGAGGAAAATAGTCCGAATAATGTAAATAGTGTACATAATACCTCATCTCAAAAATATAGACAGATACTGAAAGGCCGAAACGCTGTAATAAATATGACAACAAAGATGAGGACAATAGTCCGAATAAAGTAAATAGTGTACATAATACCTCATCTCAGAAATATAGACAGATACTGAAAGGCCGAAACGTTGTAATAAATATGGCGACAAAGATGAGGACAATAGTCCGAATAAGGTAAATAGTGTACATAATATCTCATCTCAGAAATATAGACAGACACAGAAAAAATCCTCTCATTTCTAAAGATTTCTGATGAAGCTAAAATAAAATCGAAACGTTAAATTTATAAACGTTTTCCTTGTGTAAGAATTTTGTCGAGTGACTTTTAAAAGACACGTATGTTTCAGCGCAGAAAACTATTCGATATTTATGAGTTTTGTTAAAAAAATATATGAAAACATACAAAACATTGTTATTTGATTTCGCTATTCTATTAATTTCGTGCCTACCTACTCAGCAGGATAACATAAATTCTGTCTTAATGAAACTTGAAGTAGGGTGCCTCTCAAAAGACGCCTGCATTAATCGAAAAAGAACAACAAAAATTCTTTTTCTATAAACTCCTTATTAAAGACGCTGCAGGTGTGGCTTCCGCTTCTCTCTTCTTTCGCTCTCTCTTCTTTCCTTATTTCATTTCATTTCTTTCTTCCTTACAAATGCTATCACTTGTCGTTTCTATTCCAAGGATAAATTACAATTTCTTCGTCTGTTTCTCGTTATCTATGCAATGAAGGAGAAACTGCAAATGATAAAATTCTATAACAGTGCTAATAAATAAATGGAATTTAAATTATTAGACTGAGATGGGGTGACGTGTGACTATGCCATGATATGTTTCCCATAACCACACGTCTCTCCTTCTCAATTTAACTTTTGAAAATCATAGAACTGTGAAACTGGTAAAGTTACTCTAGATAATTATCCTTAAAGACTTCAGTTGCATTTTCAAATTCTCTCTTATATATATATATATATATATATATATATAAAGAAAGAACAGTAAGATATATAATCCGGTGTTCTTATAGATATTTTTATTTTTACAAAATAGTTCTCAATGTAAATTTACAGAGCATTAATATTATAAATTGATTTAATTGAATTACAAAATTAAATTCGTAGCTTTTAGCTTCCATTTTTGAAACATGGTTAGAACTGTATATATATATAATTATTTATTTAGAAAATTTATAACATAAACATGTTATAAAATCACACTCGGTGTCTTATCAAGTGATGATTTTGAATGTAAAATAAATGGTTTTAAAAGTTTCAAATTGATTAACGATCCTTCGCAAGGGGAAAACGTTGTTACAAAAACTAGAATGACCAATCAAAATACAAGTATAGGAAAATTCAAAAAGCTTGACAACGAAGTCATGTTATAATAGCTATTCAGATCGTTAAAATACGGGTAAAATTAAAAAAAAAATTATTCAATAATTATTAAATTATATGATAGAATTTGATATTAAAATTAAAAACTGCCAATTTTAAAATCCAAATTTAATCACTATTAAGTTTAAAATTATAAAATTACCGAGGAGAACAATAAATAATTATATCTGCTCTACTTTGTATTGAGCACTCTTTTAAGAACTACATATATATATATATATATATATATATATATATATATATATATATATATAGGAAAATGTAGCTGCCGATTTATTTTATTCAGGATTTATTTATTGACCCCCCCCACTGAGTCAGGTTGTGACACAAGGTCAATTTTTAACGTGGGGACCTGAGTGTTTTCACTCAGGTCGCTGGTCTTAGCTGGTCATAGCTTGTCTAAGCTGGTCTAAGCTAGTCTTGGCTTGTCATAGCTGGTCCAAGCTGGTCAGAGCTACTCCTGGCTTGTCATTGCTGGTCAGAGCCGGTCTGAGCTAAGCGTAGCCGTGATACCACCAGCAAGGATCAGGATGTGTACGCCCCTCAAGCGAGCGGCCGACACACACACACACAAATATATATATATATATATATATATATATATATATATATATATATATATACGTGATAGAAATTTTTGGGGATAATCTTTTATAGTAATTCATAGAATCTAGGAAGAATCTTCAACAGAATGCAGAAAGCACTGGACGGCCATTTCGTCCTATTTGGGACTCATCAGCAGTGACATCCATTACCGAGAATCGAACCCGGATCGTTATGATACAACGCAAGCGTCAGACCACTGGACTTCTTCGGTAACGAAGAAGAACTGACTAGACTCAATGTAGCGCCGCTACTCACTAAATTCTGGGGTGATACTCACCCAAGTATACGTAACCCAACAGATTTCGGCCACAAGAGCCACGTCTTCTTTCCCCAAGCCGTTCCCCGTAGAGCATTAGAAGCAGGATCAAGCAAGGATATACAAGTGATAGAAATTTTGGGATATATATATATATATATATATATATATATATATATATATATATATCTTTTCTTCACTAATCTCAGATATTTTTGAAAGAATATTTTAAAACATAAAAAGTAACATTTTTGTTTCATTAACGCATTTACAACGTTGTTTCACGCTAAACGATTTTTCAAATTGAGCCATTGTTTTTTTTAATAGCCTTCCCGAAATCTATTGTTATTTCGATATCTTCAAAACGGATTGCTTCAGCGTGCCGACAGTTTGAAATAATATCCTTCTATTTATTTATTATCTCCGTTGTCTAATTCTATAATTTGTAGTTTCTTCTTTATCGAATAGATAAAGAGAAACGGAGAAAGAAATTGTAGTTTGTGTTTGGAAGAGAAAGCACACATTATAGGATTTGTAAGAAAGAAAGGAAGAAAATGAAATAAAGAAAGAAAAGAAGGGAAAGCGAAGAAAAAAAAAAGGGAGAAACAGAAGACCCACCGGCAGCTTAGAAATAAATCTCAAGTGGTAACCCTTCGGCTATCAACGATCACGGGTTTATTTAAAGGGCGATAGAATAAACTTGACAAGGTCTCATCATTTTACATTTAAAATGCCTAGAATTAACAATAAGTTGTTAGCTAATTGTTTCTTTTCTCGTACTTCTTGTCTGCGGGACTCTCTTCCGAATTTTTGCTTTCCAGCCAAATTTGATCTTCAAAGATTTAAGTGTAATGTCAATCGTTATTTCCTGTCTTCTGGATTACTCTTCTGTTATTGCTCTCTCTTCTTAATAATGTTTTCTTTTTCTTATTCATTTACACTCTGCAACCCTCCTGTGTCTTAGTGGATTTATTGCCTTGATGGTGGTAAAAGGATTAAAAAATATATGTATATATTGTATAAAATTTGCTTTATTTACAAGGGTAAGGAACTCACTACCATTTATATAAATTATCTAATTTATAGAATTTATAGAATTTGCTTTAGTCTCCAAGAAAGGAAATGCTTCCGTAACTGTGTATTTAGGACTAGAGGACGGAAAGTTGAGACACTCAAAAACGAAAATTCATTGAAATAGACAAAGTTGCTTTCCAAAGCTAAGCAGAGTATTAAGAAATATATATATAAAAAAAACAAAAACAAAACGTCGTTTTAAAAGTGTACTGGTCTGTTACGTGATATCTGTTCTACTGTATGGCAGTGAATGCTGGACAACTTTCTCAAAGACGAAGAAGAGACTTGAAGCAACAGGGATGTGGTTCTACAGAGAAATGCTGAGGATACCATGGTCCGAATATGTGAACAACGACGAGGTTTTAAAGAAAATGGAAACAAAAAGGAAACATATACTTAACATCAGGGCAGTTGAAATTTCTGGGGTACACAATGAGGAAAGAGAGCTTGGAAAATCTGTTACTCACAGGACGGATTGAGTATTTGTGTGTGTGTGTGTATGTGTTTGTGTGTGTGTGTGTGTGTGTGAGAGAGAGAGGGAGGAAGGGAGAGAGATAGGGAGATATAGACGACAGATGTCAAGAGATTGGCCAAATACTCATTACCACGAGGTGGCTGCCTCATTAAAGTATCTGGGTGCGGTGATGGGGTGTTAACTCTTCCATTTTCGCAATCGTACTGCCTAAGGAATAGAAAAACTTTGCTAGAAATACTGAAAAGAGTAATGAACTGTTACGTGATATCTAGACAATCTCCTCAAAGCTGTAGAAGAGAATTGAAGCAGCAGAAATGCTGAGGATACCATGTGTTATAATCTAGGGAAGGTTACTGAATAGAATAGTCAAACGAAGGTTGGTAATGAACAATAATACATAGGACAAGAACAACGCATATAAGATTCGCCAGTGGCGCATAGAATTAGTCAACTACTAGACGTGTGTCAAGTGAATTCCACAATGAATCTCCAACTGCAGGATATCAACCAACCGCCTCAAGCGGTCAGATGGGGCACAAGGCTGAATTTAATGCCAAAAATTCCCCGTAGACCCTGTATAAAATGTGGTCGGGTAGCTGTTTCCCGAGAGGAGACTCTGCCCTTCGACATAGCCGTCTGGGGATCCCCTCTGCCCTCTCTAACTGCAGACCAACATACAGTATTTACTACTGTATTTATGGGAATGGGGACATACCCATTATCGTCCGCTACAACACCATGCACCGAACACATGAGCAAAGATGAAGTTTTAGAGAAAATGGAAACAAAAAGGAAATACTTAACACCAGAAAGAGACAGTTGAAATTTCCGGGGTACAGAATGAGGAAAGAGGGCTTGGAAAATTTGATATTCACAGGACAAGGGATACAGAGGAAAGCAACGCATAATCTACCTAATGAGCTCGAGTCAATGACTAGCGGAACAATGTTTAGGAGAAATAAACAGAAGACAAAATTTATTAAGAGCTACAAGGGACAGGAAGTTGTGGAGAGCCTTGATCGCCTACATCCTGAGGGGGATAAAGAAGAAGGCATCTTGCTACTATTAAATAGAATGATGACATTATATTCAGTCAGTATCGTATGTTACATGATCGTCGAAGCGCTTATCACGTATGGCACTTAACTGAGTTCGATCCTCACGGGATGCTATATACTTTCGGCTTTGTGCCACATCTAAGCTACGCTTTAAATATCACTATATATACGTAGGAAGGGGAGGGAAATTTAAAAAAACGCAAGCGTTTTTTTTTTATAATTATGCACGGGCAGCAAATGCTGAAATGTTTTAAAACATTTTTTTGTCTTAATGTGTCTGGATATGTAGTCGAAAACATACTGCTTTAATTAAAAGAGAAAGCAATTTACTAAGACGAAGTATATAGAAAGTGTTTTGATCGCTAGATCGCCCACAGTAAATTTGCCTTTTGACAACCTTTCATCATTTGGGGCCGATTTTCTATTATCACAGCGTGGGATAATTAGTAATAAAAGTGTTGAAAACAAAGAAAAGCACAAGGACACTGAATGAAATTGTCAGTTTAAATTTTAAAATGAACGAGGACGCAAGTGGTTTGACTAGGAAATAGAATTTAGCGTTAGATAGCAAATATGACTTCGCAATTTTAAATCATTTCAAATTTTAATCTGACAAGCGAAATAGACGCCATACTTGATATTTCAGGACCTCCCACCGTTTTTCTTTGAAAACGGTCAACGAAAATACTTCGGAGTTGATAGTTAATTTTGGAAAGTTCATTTACAAGTTACTACCTGCGATAAAGTGACGAATTCTACACAAAGATAGATAGATAGATAGATAGATAGATAGATAGATAGATAGATATGAACAGAACGAGATGGATATATACATATATATATATATATATATATATATATATATATATATAGATAGATAGATAGATAGATAGATAGATAGATATTAACAGAATGAGGTAGATATGAATATAATGAGATAGATAGGTATGAACAGAATGAGATAGACAGGTAGATATGAATAAAATGATATAGATACGTAGATATATAAATAGATAGATATGAACAAAATTACATAGATAGACAGATAGCTAGATACCTAAAGAGACTGAGATAGATAAATAGACAGACAGATAGATACATATGAACAGAATGAGATAGATAAATAGTTATGAACACAATGACATAGACAGACAGACAGACAAACAGACAGACATACAGACAGATAGATAGATAGATAGATAGATAGATAGATATGAACAGAATTAGGTAGATATGAAAAGAATGACATATATATGAAGATATTGAGATGGATAGATGGATGGATAGATAGATATGAAAAGACTGAGATATATATATATATATATAGATAAATAGATAGATATGAACAGAATGAGATAGATAGATAGATAGATAGATAGATAGATAGATAGATAGATATGAATAGAATGCGACAGATAGATAGTTATGAACAGAATGACATAGACAGACAGACAGACAGATAGATAGATAGATAGATAGATAGATAGATAGATAGATAGATAGATATGAACAGGAAGACGTAGATATGAACAGAAAGATAGATGGATGGATGGATAGATACATATGAAAAGACTGAGATAGATAGATAGATAGATAGATAGATAGATAGATAGATAGATAGATAGATATGAACAGGAAGACGTAGATATGAACAGAAAGATAGATGGATGGATGGATAGATACATATGAAAAGACTGAGATAGATAGATAGATAGATAGATAGATAGATAGATAGATAGGAACAGAACGAGATGGATATATACATACATATATATATATATATATATATATATATATATAGATATTAACAGAATGAGGTAGATATGAATATAATGAGATAGATAGGTATGAACAGAATGAGATAGACAGGTAGATATGAATAAAATGAGATAGATACGTAGATATATAAATAGATAGATATGAACAGAATTACATAGATAGACAGATAGCTAGATACCTATGAAGAGACTGAGATAGATAAATAGACAGACAGATAGATACATATGAACAGAATGAGATCGATAAATAGTTATGAACACAATGACATAGACAGACAGACAGACAAACAGACAGACAGACAGACAGACAGACAGATAGATAGATAGATAGATATGAACAGAATTAGGTAGATATGAACAGAATGACATAGATATGAAGATATTGAGATGGATAGATGGATGGATAGATAGATATGAAAAGACTGAGATATATATATAGATATAGATAAATAGATAGATATGAACAGAATGAGATAGATAGATATGAATAGAATGCGACAGATAGATAGTTATGAACAGAATGACATAGATAGACAGACAGACAGATAGATAGATAGATAGATAGATAGATAGATATGAACAGAATGAGGTAGATATGAACAGAATGACAGATATGAACAGACTGAGATAGATAGATAGATAGATAGATAGATAGATATGAACAGGAAGACGTAGATATGAACAGAAAGATAGATGGATGGATGGATAGATACATATGAAAAGACTGAGATAGATAGATAGATAGATAGATAGATAGATAGACTGATTAACTGACATTTGTTTTGAAGTGAGTGTCATTTTTTAAATTTATTTTATCATATTTTCTTTTCCCTTCGCAATGTAGATGATCATGACTCTCCACATTGTCTTGTCTGGTTGGCTAGGATAGTGGAGTGGTCTCCCGTTGTCTTGTCCCCACTAAGGAATTCACAGTTTTCCTTCTCTTAGACTGGTTACTACCCAAGGCTAGAGAGGCCAGTCTACTTTGCTATATAACTCATAGCTACTGGATGAAAGAGAATAAACGAAATCATTCACTTCCGATGAGTACCAATGCAAATGTGATTGTAACAGACTAACCCAGAATTACAATTCTTAATGTATTGAGGTGAACTTTTCAATACATTTTCTCTTCACCACGTAGGCAATCATGCCTTTCCACAGTTTCCTTTTCTGTGATATCTGTCAATTGCCATGCTTACTTGGTTAAGATAGTAGTGTGGTGTTCCGTTGGCTCTGCTTAGATTTGGAATTCAGAGTTTTCCTTCTCTTAGATTGGTTGCCATCTAATTTATGAATCACGAGTCTATCCTGGTATTGAATCCATAACTACGGAGTGGGATATAAGGAAGGAATTCTTGCTTTTTCCTAAGGGATTAGTGCGAAAGTGGATGCAACAAAGCTAACAGTCAGTTTTTTATTCAACTTCAGTATATAGAGTTCGTTTCGGAATTAGAAATTTACCTGTGACAGCTGTCGAAAAATCAATACAGAATTTATCGATTTCAATGTTTCAGTCAGACAAAAGGCACGAGACAGTGGTCAGGGAAAGATGGAAAGTATTAGCCTTAAAGGGAAGAAGTTTTATAAAATTATACCCAGAATAGTTTGCTTTGTTTATTGTATTTTATTGTTCTATTTTTTTTTGTAAACACAAGTTACGCCTATTAAAAAATTAGAATAATAAAATACAATAATCAAAGCAAACTACTGAATCTAAGGAATGAATTAGTTTTAAAATGTTGACGTAAAAATAAATTCGAATTTCCATAATATAGGTTTTATCTTATTAGATACTATAATTCTATAAGTCTTCAAATATCGAATGTATAACTATTTCTAATTTCAATATTTTTACACCATATTAATTATATGTTATAATTGTCCCCTGCTCTAAGAACTCTCTTTCCTTTATTACTTAAACCTCTTTATCTATATATTTTAATTTAAAAAAAATATAACCTCGTATTTTTAGTTTTTTTTTTTTAAATATAACTTTAAAAAAAATACTTTTATATTTTTATTCTATAATATAACAATTTTTTATTAATTATAATTTAAAAGATATAATCTTACTTAATTTTAATATAGATTATCTAAATATAACTTATTTTTAATTTATTAGATATATTTTGCTATTAAGCATAATTTGTTTTTAGAAGAGTATGTTTAAGTAGGAACTTGTAATTTTCAATTTAACCTTATCGATATAATTAAAAAAAAAACATTTTTCGTTCCTCTCTTAGTTTCAAATTAACGCTTCATTATTCATACAACTCCGATTTCGCGTCATGAAGTTAATATCCGGGTTTAGTTTTATAAAACCACTTCCCTTCCACCCTCTCTTGACCAATGTCTCGTGCCATTCGTCTGACTAAAACATTGAAATGGATAAATTCTGTAACAATTTTTCGCCAGCTGTCAAAGTTATATTTCTAATTCCGACACGAACTCAGTCTATATACCGAGATGGAATAAGACTGAAGAAGTTTTCGTCGGTTGAAATAGGTCTTTACCTAAGTAATGAGGTAATTTTGGATTTTATGGTTTACTAATATATATGTACACACACACACACACACACACACACACACACACACACACACACACACACACACACACATATATATATATCCCTACCCCCTACCAATAACGGATACAATAATACAGACATAATGAACACCCAGACACCCCTTGTCCAGTTGAAGTAGATTTATCTGTAACCTTGGAAACGTGAATTATAATTTTAGCTGTGTCTTTAAAACCCAGTAGTTTTAAAAGTTACTCCAAAATTCGCTTGAGGATGAAATGGAACTAATGTCTTTAATTTAATTACAAAATTAAATTCGAACCTTTTTTTGCTTCATTTTTGAAACATGGTTAGAACTGTGTAGCGAAAAAAAACATATTTTAAAGAAATCAATTTATAATATATATATATATATATATATATATATATATATATATATATATATATGAACGGATGTCATAATTCGTTGAAAAATGCACACCTACACTACCAAGACTTAACCTCTTTTTCGTCGGTTGAAATAGGTCTATACCTATGTAATGAGGTAATTTTGGATTTTATGGTTCACTAATATATATATATATATATATATATATATATATATATATATATATGTGTGTGTGTGTGTGTGTGTGTGTGTTGTGTTTGTGTATGTATTGTGGTTAAAGGTTTACCCATAAAATCTTGCCCTACATTTTCTTACTCTAATATACAAACATCTTTTTTCTTTTCCAACTTCAGGTATTGTATGCCTCCCACCTCCGCCATATTTTAAGGTCAAGTTAATTTCGCTACTTCATGTTTTATTGTTTATTTTTTATTTTTATATGTCTAGTTTATTATCAGATTGTCTGGCTGAATTTATATAATTTAGTCGGTTTGATGAGGCAGTTATGTATATATATATATATATATATATATATATATATATATATATATATATATATATATATATATATATATATATATTCTAGTTCACTGCGACCAGCAAGCAGAAATATTTCTTCTCCCGATGATGGCCATTTTGGTCGAAAGTAGTCGAGGAATCTAAATGAAATAATAATAAAAAACGAAAAAATATTAATCTACAACCCAGTGTGTCTGAAGATTTTAATTTTTTAATATTTTTTTATTGTTCAAAATATATATATATATATATATGTGAAAAGTTATTATAAATAAATATATATATATATATATATATATATATATATATATATCAATATATATATATGAACGGATGTCATAATTCGTTGAAAATGCACCCTACCCTCCCAAGATTTACCACTTTTTCGAACGTAACTCATAACTGATACAATAAGAGGTAATCAATATGAACACGCTACCGCCCCTGTCTAAATGATTCGATTTCTCTGTATCCGTGGAAACAAAAAAATTATGAATTGAATGTGCGTTTAAAACTCAGTAAATTTAAAAATAAGTTATTCCAAAATTCGCTTGAAGATGAAACAGAACTAATGCTTTTAATTTAATTATATAATTAAATTTGAAGTTTTTAGCTTCGGTTTTTGAAACATGGTTATTACTGTGTATCAAAGGAACCATATTTTTAAATCAGTTAATTTGTAATATTTATACTCTGTAAATTTACATTGAGCACTGTTTTGTAAAAATAAAAATATGAATAAAAACACCGGATTATATATCTTACTGTTCTTTCTTTTATATATATATATATATATATATATATATATATATATATATATATATATATATATATATATATATATATATATCTACTGAAATAAATTTATAACCGATTATATGATGAATATTTAAGTCTTTCCCTTATTATTAGATATTGCTCTGTAAATAAATTTATACATTGAACCTCATCGTGGATTTAAATTTTTAATATTTTTAATAAAAATACTTGGGATTTGATAGTTAATTTCTCAAAGTTTATTTACAAGTTACTACATGCGATAAAGTGACGAATTCTACACAAAGCGATAGATAGATAGATAGATATTAACAGAATGAGATAGAGATGAATATAATGAGATAGAAAGCTATGAGCAGAATGAGAGAGATGAGATGAATATCATGATATAGATACATAGATATATAAATAGATAGATATGAACAGAATGAGATGTGTAGATAGATATGAACAAATTATATATATATATATATATATATATATATATATATATATATATAATTAATAATTATATTTTAAAATATTAAAAATTATATATCATTTATATAAACTACACCCACACACACACACATATATATATAGTTATATTTTTTTATTATAAGAGATTATAATAAAACATATTAAAATCACTACAAAAAATTTTCATGTTTTCAATACTATGATTGTATTTCTTGAGACGATTAGTATTGAAACATGAAAGCTTTTGTGTATGATTTCAACGTTTTATTAAATCTCTTATAATAGTATATATATATATATATATATATATATATATATATATATATATATGCATATGAATTGAATCTGAAAGCTATTTGTGCATATATACAGTGCTGTTCGATAAAAGTGACTCACCTGATTTTTTTTACTAAAAATATTTTTTGTCTATTGTTTTTGGGGTTAAAATAATTTTTAATCTTACTAATATAAAGACCCCTTCCTGACCACCTAGGAAAAAAGTTTATTCACCTTAAGGTATTCTATTGATAATTATAAATTTGGATATAAATGAGATTCAGGATAAAACTGAAAAGTGACTCAGATATTGCATTCTAATGATTAAACTGGTAAATTTAAAGAGCTTTTGAAAAAAATATTGAAAACTATTTTTCAATACACCCAGAACAATATTCTAGAGAATTCTAGAACAGCTTAAATTAAATCTAGGTTATTCCAGAATATTCCAGAAAGCCTCATACTGTATAAAAACAGCTTAAAATAGCCACTCAAGTCACTAACCAGATGAAAGGGTACAAGCGCGTATCAGAACCACTTAAGGCATCTATTATTGCCCTCTCAAAAGCAGGCAAGTCTACGAGAGAAATTGCAGAAATTGCTATAATCTCGCAATCAACTGTCTCTCGAGTGCTTAGGGCACATAATGATGCCACTCCTGCTCCAAGGAAGGAAACAAGGGGACAAAAGAAAAAGATTGATGATAGAACTGGCAGGGTAATCAAGAGAGAAGTTACGAAGAATAGGACTATAACTAGCCAAGAAATTGCAGCCAGTCTAAGCAAAGAGCAAGGTATTAGTCTTGCCTCTTCAACTGTCCGTCAGAAC